TTCACCATGTTGACCAGGATGGTCTCGATCTCTTGACCTCGTGATCTACCTGCCTCTGCCTCCCAAAGTGCTGGGATTACAGGCTTGAGCCACCGCGCCCGGCAGATTCTGGTCTTCACTGTCTCAATAGTTTCATCTTTTATTTCTTCACTTGTTACCTCAGAGAGTGTTCTGGCCTTGTTGCTAGTACTAGACTTGGGTGACCAAAGGTGGAGAGTTGAAGGAACCAGACTTTTATGCTCTCAGATACTCTCCTCCTTCCCCCAAGGGAGAGGATCTGAAGAGGAAAAACAGCAGGTTTGTCCAGGCTACAGGGTTAAGTCCCTGTATAAACTTTAGGATTTGGTCAGTAGGGTGTTGACCCTGCTGTATTGGGTTTCAGGTCATGGTGGAAGAAGGGGACAATATAGCCCAAGGCTCTGGTCATGAGAGCTCTTTGGAATTGGACTCTAGTATCTTGTCCCAGTTTGATTACCAGGATCCAGACAAGGCCCTTACTCTGGTGCGTTCAGTGCTGACTCAGAGACGCCAGGCTGTGCAGGTAAGAACCCTCAGCATTCTCCCTCAGTCACAGGGGTATGTGTCTAAACTGATGTGTGCCCCAGATACCTCCCTAGCTTGGACTGTCCCTTTCACTTTGTTGACCAATCGTGAGGTGTTTTGTCAACATCCCAAAGCGAATCTGTCTGTGTCTGCTGAATTGTGCTTGTGAGTAGCAGGCACATCCATGCCAATGGCATGCTTCACTTTGTATACAGTCTTTGCATAACATGCAGAGATTGGGAACCAGAGCCCTGGGAGATTATTGGGCCAGCGTTCTCCATCTCTGAGGGTCCTAGGCACACTTACCACTCCCCCATGCCACTGTACACTTGGAGATGACAAACTCTAAGAATCTAGAGCCACAGAAGCCCAATGACCTCTGATGGTCTATCTTCTTGAATAGTTGCATCTCCCTTCTCAGCTTACTCTTGTTGCACCAGCTCCCGACCCCCTTCTCCAGCCCCACGTTCAGGGTTCTGACATCTCCTTTGCCCTTGCTCATCATCTGATTTCTCTTGCTCTCCCTCCACAGGACCTAACGCAGCAGCTTGCAGGCTGCCAAGAGGCTGTGAGCTTGTTGCAACAGCAGCATGATCAGTGGGAGGAAGAAGGCAAAGCCTTGAGACAGAGGCTGCAGAAGCTCACTGGGGAGCGGGACACTCTAGCAGGGCAGACTGTGGACCTCCAGGGAGAGGTGGACTCTCTTAGCAAGTGAGCAGATGGGCTATTTATCCCACCCTCCCAGCCTGGTCTCAGTCCAGTCCTCATCCAGCCATTTGCCCACTCCCATCAGGTTTTGGGGTGCTGATCCTGCTGTCCCTGAGACTCAGGGCTGTTTTGTTCTGTGTTCTACTTGTTTCTGCAGAACAAGCTTTTGGGGTTGGAGTCTAAAGGGAAGATGGGATCTTGAGACAAGCACCTTTCATTTGAACCTGTGATGTCTGCTTCCAGAAAGAAATTGAGGTCCCACAGTCTCTGTTTATCTCTGATTTCCTTCTTCCAGGGAGCGAGAGCTGCTGCAGAAGGCCAGGGAAGAGCTGCGGCAGCAGCTGGAGGTGCTAGAGCAGGAGGCATGGCGCCTGCGAAGGGCAAATGTGGAGCTTCAGCTGCAGGGGGACTCTGCCCAGGGCCAGAAGGAGGAGCAGCAGGAGGAGCTGCACCTGGCTGTGCGGGAGAGGGAGCGTCTGTAAGTGCAACCAGTCTCCTCCTCTCTGGGGCCTGGTCTTCCTTCAATTCTACACCCTCCCCACCTAGTCCCCTCTCTTAGAAAGTAGAGTATGTAGAAGTCTGGCATGCAGTGGGTTCAGATTAGCTTACTGCTTCTTTCTTTGCAGAAAGATGAATACGGAAAGTTTGTAGTTGGTTAAGTCTTTGCAGAGCACCCATATGGGATGAGACAGTGGGGGGAATACAGAAATGAATAAGACACAAGCCCTAATCTCAGGGAGCTTCCCAGAAGACAGACAACTAACTGTGACATGAGGCTGGATGAAGTATGAGTTAAATAGAGTTTCAGACTAAGTCCTTTGGGAGCACAGGAGCAACAGTTAATTATTGAGGACTAGGGAATGCTTTATGGAGGAGTGGGTAGACTTTGTGCTGGGCCTTGACCTGTTTGGTTAGCAGAGAGTGGGGGAAGAGCTCAAGGAACAGATTAGCAAATACAAGGAGGCAGGAAGGTTCATGGCATGTTCAGAGTAGGCTGGGGTGGCTAAAGGCTAAGACTTATACAGGGAAGTAGTGGGAAATGTGCTAGCTGGTCAAGAAAGGGAAATCCAGAATCAATGGCCCAGCTAATCTGTAAATTCCCCTATATGATGTCACATAAAAAGCAAGAACTTTGAGCTGGGCAAAATCTTGGGTGAATTATGGCTCTGTCAGTTGCACAGATTATTTGTAAAGTGATGATGCTAATATTTACCTTGAAGGGTCACTAGGAAAATTAGAGCAATGTTCTGAAAAATGCCAGCGTAGAACCTGGCATATGGTAGGTCTTTAATAACTGGGAGCAGGAATGTATTTTCATCTTTGTTCTATTTCCCTCCTCTCCTATGCCCCAGTTCCTTGTATCTGGTAGGCATGAATAGTTGAAGCTTGAAGGGCTACCATAAGGGTGATGACTTGTGCTAAGAAGGATTTCCCTGTACCAGAGACAAGGGCAGACAATCCACAGAGATCATAACATGTTTTTAAGTTTAATTCATCTGACTTGATAATACATTTATATGATTCAAAAGTCAAAACTATTTTAAGGCTAGGCACATTGGCTCACACCTGTAATTCCAACCCCTTTAGAGGCCTTAGTGGGAAGATTGCTTGAGGCCAGGAGTTTGAGACCAGCCTGGGCAACATAGTGAGACCTCTGTCTCCACAGAAGCAACAAAAAATTAGCTGAATGTGGTGGCATGTGCCTATAGCCTTGGCAGGGTAGATGGGGGGATCGACTGGGTGCGGTGGCTCATGCCTTTAATCCTAGCACTTTGGGATGCCGAGGAGGGCAGATCATGAGGTCAGGAGTTCAAGACCAGCTTGGCTAGCATGGTGAAACCCCATCTCTACTAAAAATACAAAAAATTAGCTGGGCATGGTGGCACGCACCTGTAGTCCAAGCTACTCGGGAGGCTGAGGCAGGGGAATCGCTTGAACCTAGGAGGCTGAAGTTGCAGTGAGCCAAGATCGCACTACTGCACTCCAGCCTGGGTGACAGAGCAATAACCTGTCTCAAAAAAAAAAAAGAAAGAAAAGAGGCTGGGCACAATGGCTCACGCCTGTAATCCCAGCACATTGGGAGGCCAAGGCAGGCAGATCACGAGGTCAGGAGTTCGAGAACAGACTGACCAACATGATGAAACCCCATCTCTATAAAAAAAAATAATAAGAATAAAGAAAAGAGATGGGAGGATCACATGAGCCCCCAGCAGTTTGAGGCTTCAGTGAGTTTAGAAGATACACAGAGAAGCCTCACTCTCATTTGTGCTTTCTCCATCCCATGTCCCTTCCTCTTTAGGCAGCCATTTTAGTTGACTTCTTGTTTATCTTGCCAGTGCTACTTCATGCAAATATAGGCATATATTCTTTCTTCCCCTGCTTTCTTGCATAAAAAGTAGTGTATCATGTTTATACTGTTCTGCGCCTTGATTTGTTTCTCTTGATATGTCTTAGAAATCTTTCCTTATCAGTTTTATAGACCTTCCTCATTCTGTTGCATAGCAAAGGTGATTACATTCCTGTTACCTTTGGGGTTATGGTCCATCCCTAAGAGTTCCTCTAGACCCCTCTCCTTCCCATCTTAGTCAGGAGACGCTGGTGGGCCTGGAAGCCAAACAGTCAGAATCACTCAGTGAACTGATCACTCTTCGGGAAGCGCTGGAGTCAAGTCGCCTGGAAGGGGAGTTACTGAGGCAAGAGCAAACGGAAGTGACCGCAGCGCTGGCTAGGGTGCGTGGCCTCCTCTCCTCACTTGCTGGGTGGGCAGCTTCGAAAGTATATTCTCATGCAGCCTGCCTCATTCTTCACCTTCAAGCCAGGATCCCTCATCTTTCCTTAATCATTAGTCTGCTTGTGGGTTCTCTCTTCCAACATACCCTCTATATTGAAATTAGAATGGGCCTTCTAAAGTATAAACCTGGTTATGTCTGTCTCTTAAAACCATTCAATGGCTTTCTAGCTCTGTGGTGCCACATTCAAAGCTTTTTGTCCTGTGCCCTAAGCTGTGTTTTAGCTTCTCCTTCTACTGCAAAACCCATCCTAATGCCTCATATCCTTTGCTCCTGCAACAGAGCAGTAATTGGATTCTCAGTTATTCCATGTTCTTTCATGACTCTAATACTTTGTGTATACTTTTTTTCCCTTTCCCTGCGCTACTTTCCTCCTCCTTTATGCGCAAACTGTTCCTCATCTCTCAATACCCAACTTAATCGTCAACTTCTCTACAAAGCATATTTGACTCTTCCAAACTATATTAATATTTTTTTTTGAGTTCCCAGAGCACTTTGTACTTACATTTTCTATGGCTTCATTACAACTGTAGTCATTTCTCTGTCCTTACATTGGTACTTCTATACTGTGAGCTTCTGTCTTACTCCTTAATGAATGATTGAAGGGAAAACTTGTTTAGAATGCAGGAGAGGAATGGAGTAGTCACTCCTCTCTATACCAAAAAAGCAGCAGTGTTCAGAATGTGAACTGTTTACTGTTGCAGGAAAATTGAAAATAGGAAACTCTTTAACCCTCTTTGTTTTTAGGCAGAGCAGTCAATTGCAGAGCTGTCGAGTTCTGAAAACATCCTGAAGGCAGAGGTAGCTGATCTTCGGGCTGCAGCTCTCAAGCTCAGTGCCTTAAATGAGGCTTTGGCCTTAGATAAAGTTGGGCTGAACCAGCAGCTTCTCCAGGTGAGTAAAGATTTTCCTGGTTCCCAGGGAAGGGTTGGACCCTAACTGAGGACAGGACAGATCAGCTCCCAAATGTAGCTCTGAAATGAGCCAAAGGAACACTTACAGTGCAGAGGAGAGCAAAGGCTGTAAGGATTGGGCTTTAGACATTACAAATACTCCACTCCCACATCTTCAGCAGAACCATCTCTGGACTTTAGGGTAAATCACCAGGGTTGGGAAGGGGCCCATGTCCTCTGGAAGAAAGACTAGAATTTTGCTGGTTTTTTGTTTTTTTTTTTTTTTTTTTTTT